TTAACAGATTCATTACCTAGATTCATTCATTTAGAGCTTCCTCCTGATCAGAAAATGTAGAATAAAAATTAGAGTTAGGCTCTGAAAAAACACATTTCTGTCTTTGCTCTTGTAAGCATTGACATGTATTATAAAAGTACTTATAGCATTGGCTCAGCATGATTTCATCTACACACAAACACTTTGGCCACAAATTCATTCATGTGTACATGAATATGGTCAGAGGATTTCATTAGACGGTCAGGCCATAAAAGTCAAGATGGCTTTAGCACAACTGGTTAATATCCAGCTGCAGTAAATCTTGCCAACCAAAAGGCTGACAGTTTGAAGCCAGGTCAGGGTGAGCGCCTGACCTTCAGCCCAGCTCCCTGCCCACCTAGCGGATCAAAAACAGCAATGTGAGTAGATAAATTAGGAACCGCATTAAGCGGGGAGGTATTTTAGGCACAGCATTTCAATCAGAAAAAGGAGGAAAAGTTTATGAACGAAGAAAGCTCTTCGGCAAGGAGATGCGGGGACAGCACTCCTCTGTGGCCAGAACCAAGCATAGCCTCCAAAGATGCTGAAAGATGGGGAAAAGCCCATATAATACCTCTATCTGTTGTCTGTCTTATCACTGTATAATTGGCATTGAATGTTTGCCGTATATGTGTTCTGTGATCCGCCCTGAGTCCCCTTCAGGTATACTGTAAATAATTAAGATTAAAGCCTTGATGTTTTGACAACAAACTAACCTCCACAATACTTAAAATTAATGACAGATTTGTCTGCTTTTCTACTCCTCCAGGGCGAAATGACAGTATTTTTGGATGCAAAATACAGACTAGAATTCTATATTATTGGGTTTCTAAAATGTGAAAAAATGGGGGGGAAATCTATTAGAACTTTATTTTCAAGGCTTTAGGAGATTGGAGAAGAAGAATATTATTTACTTAAATATTGAATGAGAGGGGAAAACCCATGAACAGCCAAGAAAGAAAAACAAAGCCCAGTGTGCCACCCAATGATTGAAACATTCATTTTGAGGTCACGTTTAATAAAAGGATGATATTCAAGTCCTCCATAATCAGAGAAATACTTCAGATCTAAGCTTGTGCTCAGAACAACTATATTTGTGGCTTCGTCTATGTTGTTAGTCTATTTATTTCTATATTCTATTTATTTGCTGCCTTTCTCCCAAAAGCTGACCCAAGACGGTTTACTATTAATTATCAAAAGAGGAGAGCGACCTCATGCTACATAACTCTGATCCAATTTTACCCTTTGGCAGTTACTGTTATTTCCTGTCTCAGGCTTACTTTTTTATCTTCCTCAAAGTCAGTGAACTGAGTAAGTCCTCACAGGACCTATTCCACCAAATGAATATCTCAAAATGGCAAATTTGGAATGATTACATCAATAAACACTTGAGTCTAATGCTATTATTAATACACATAGGGACGTTAGAAAAGCTTAAATTAAGTTGATTTAAAAAGAGGTTACGTTTGAAAAAACGAGGAAACACTTTTAAGCACTGCTCATGTTCGTTTTTTGTTTTTGTTTAAAAATAGCATGGCTATCTACGTCCCCAGACTGTCAATAAAGAATTAAGATGGATATAATGAAGGGAAGTGAGTATACCTGCAGGAAATGGGAAATTCAAGCTGGAGACATGAAGAAGAAGAGGGGAAATTTAAGCATTCCCAAGCTATATTTTATATTCCTTCCTAATCCTTTTCTGAAGTTGCTTTGCCCTTTCAAAAAAAGCTGCAATTCCGTCATAAGCACTGCTATACATTGTGTACTTTATTAGCTCATAAATACAGCTTACTAAATTCTCTATTTTACAAACAGACTCTCCAGGAAAATCTATAGTGTATTTTCTACTGTTAATAACCACGTTGGTTATTTCAAATTCACTTCTGGTTTATTTGTGGCTTTGGGATGGTCTGAGATAAAAGGTTTCATTTGCAAATTACAATATCTAAAAGACAGTGAAAAAAATACCGTATTTACTCAAATCTAATGCTCACCCTTTCTGGCTAAATTACCTTCCCAAAATTAGGGTGCACGTTATATTTACACAACGTAGTAATCTTAGTGCTGGAGAAGCTAGTTCAGGAGCATCTGGAACTCCTATTTGAGGAACATCATGACTAATTTAATTGCCATAGCTAAATGTCATGCAATGCAGGGATTTGAAGTTTGGTGAGGCATTGGCATTCTTTAGCAGCCCCCATGATTCAAGTGGATTCATTCTGTAGAATTGATGCACCCCAAGGTTTTCTTTTCCATTGCTGAAAGCTTTGGTGTTTTAACACTTGCTTTTAGAGAAGGAATTCTAAGCAGGCAGCCACTGTAATGCACACCTTTCTGGTGTGTTGTTTCTAGGCATTGAATGTTTGCCTTTGTGTCTATATATACTGGAATCTATCCTGAATCCATTCGGGGAGATAGGGCAGAATATTAATATCTAGCTGTCCCCTGCCATGCATTGCTGTGGCCCAATCTATGTATATGTATTTTGTGTGTGTATCTATGTGTGCATATATTTGTGTATATGTGTATATATGTGTGTTTGCATGAATATATGTGGTTTTGGGTATGTGTTGTAATGTATTTTTTATTTTTTATAGCTTTTTAAGTCTCTTCTTCAGTGTTTTTCAGGGTTTTTATGAGTGATGGTTACTTGTTGGCCTGTTAGGTGACTTGTGTCCAAATTTGGTGTCAATTCGTCTAGTGGTTTTTGAATTATGTTAATCCCCCAAACAAACATTACATTTTTATTTATATAAATTATATTATTATTAATAATAAGGCCAAGTTAGAAAGAGTGCACCTTTTGCCACTGTGCATTACATTCGCCAGCAAATACTTTTTTTGGTTTCAGGGCTTTGAAAATAGATTTGATGGTACATAAGATTCAAGGAAATATGGGAATATTTCTACTCAGACTTTGAGCAAAGTCACAGTTCAGTGCTCCACGTAGGTGACCCCATTTTCAATCCATGGCACTTTAGATGGTATCTTTTCTGGTCCCTAATCTTTTGGTATAACAAATATATAAACTCCTTTTAAATATATTGTATTTTTAAAAATGTTGAAAGTATGACTCCTGTATCCATGGGGATAAATCTGAAGACCCTCCATGTATAATAACAAACTCCATATTTTTATGAGTTTGGGAGCATATCAAGTCCTGGAAAGTCCCATAAACATTTCTGGGGAAGATAGAATATTTTGGGGGGTAGGAAAAGTGAAATGATGTACATTGAATCCATGGATAATGGATTTCTATGCTAAACAATCAAGGTGGCTTACAGCAGCTTAATATAATCTGTTCATAGCAAAAGACAAGTCATTTAAAGGTTCTCACTGATTGGACTGAAACTCTACCAGGACGGCTTTATTAATGCTGTAGTCAGCCTGCACTTCATCTCCAACTGACAACTCTCTAAGATAAATAACAACTATCTCTGTTTTCTTTCTCTCTCTCTCTCTTTCTCTCAAGAAGCGGACCATATCTGATGACTTGACTAGTTAGTGAGAGGCATCACAGCTATGCTCAATGACACTTCGTGGCCAGTCAATTACTGGCTTTCTATAAACAGAGTCTAAGATTTGCCTTCCCCTGTAGAATAATATCTCATCTCTGTGAGAGGCATATAATGCAGGCCTTAACTAGTAAGTGATAATGAGCAGACAGGAGAGCAGAGATGGAGAGAACTGCTCAAGCTTGCTACCATTAGATTTACGAAGGGTGGGGGAGACACAAGCTATCAAGCCAACCTTTTATGAATAATTGATAAGGCAGTCAGTGCAATTATACGACAGTAGCGTAAGATCTCCACAATTAGGAAGAAACCCAAGCTTTAAGCCAGAGGACAGAACGTACGGATACCAGCAAACATGCCACCCTGGAATAAAATACAGGTGCTCTGTTGTTAGTTGGCAACATTGAAATGCACAATCTGAAAGCAAGCGCAGTGTTGTGTAAATCTCCCCAGCCTCACTTTGTGTGTGTGTATGTGTGTATTTGTGTGTGTGTCTGCACACTTCAGGTTCAGAGTTTGCTTAGGAAAAATACTGCAAGGCAAAAATCAGCAGCCCCATTAATTTGCTGACGACTGAGAGAAATATGAACATTATTCTTGTGGGTTCGCTCTAAGTTGCTACGCTGACTTACTAACCATGGAAAACTAGCAATTTATTTCCATGTGCATCTGAGAAGCAAGTACATTTAAAATAATCAGTGTAATGGAAAGTAAAAGGGAACCATGCGATGCTTAGATTCAACTGGCTGGAAACAAAGGGAGAAAATTGCAAAGGTGCGAAAACGTTCTATAAAACACACACACACATACGACTAAGGAGCTAAACTAAATTCCTATTTGGCTAGGGAGAAAAGTATTTTACCAAGCAGAGAGAATTCAAGAATTTTTAAAATCTTTTCTTGCTTCTTTCCTATCTCCTGCTTTGAAAAGTATGTTCTTATACATGAAAGTTTGTATCTGAATACTAGTGTATGTCTTCTTATTATTCACCTTTTGGCTTCCAAGAGCCAAAGCGTCAGGTGTCCAAAACATCAAAGACAAAAGGGTCCCATCTATGCTACACTACTCAATCCTCATTGTCTTGAGCTCACCATCTCCCAGAGATACATGGGTTATGAAAGCCTTAAAGGAAGAGCTCGCCACATCCCTTTAAACTGTTGTGCTTTGTGATTTTGGGCACCGCTTATAATTTGTATGAGTTTGACTTCAAAATGGTCTGCGAGAAGACCTTTTGCTTCAGCCAAAATATGCAAGGAATCACGCAGCTCGAGTTATGGGTAATGAAAGGATCTGAAACTTTTGTTTTGAGAAAAAAAATACATTCAGAGTAAGTGGAAAGAATGGCTACTGGCTCTGTGACAGGAGAGTCAAATCTTCATAAACCTGAAAGAGAGGGGAGGAAAAAAAAGCGACACAAATGCGCCCTACAAAAGAACAGACCAGATCACAGCTGGAAGGAAGGCAAACCTTTTAATCAGGTCCTTGAAATACAAGCTGCAGGAAGCTAGAACATTTTGGTGGACTTCAAACTCTTTGCCTTCAACAATAATTTTCAGGTCTGTAAACTCTTTCGCTCTGCGTTGCTGGTTCAACTCCTTCAACATTTCTGCAGAACAGAGAAGATAGACAGTGCCAGAATTCCCATTAAGAGTTTTTTTTTAAATTAATTATTTAAAAAAGAAAAACAAAACAAGGAAAGTAGAGAAAATAGAAAATGTTTGATAGCTTTTGTTGGCAAGACTGGCTCAACGCTTGACATTCAAAGAAATCACAAACATAATACACATTATACAGATAAATGTATATGCTCATAAAAGCAAGAAACAGCAGCTTAAGAAATAATGAAAAAAACATTCCACATTTCTAAGAGAAAAAAGGGTTTCTTGTATCAATAAATTAGAAGCACAAAGAATACATTACCACAGAGCAGTTAAAAATAACTTCATGTAACAGAATTCAATAGCAAATACTTTATCATCTCAAAACACAAATGGTTTTTAAATGTGCTGGAATTAATACTGAATAATAAAAAAAATGGTGCCCATATGAAGTTGACATGTTTCAAAGGGGGTTAGTTGGAAATGCAAAGCTTGTGAATATTCTACGTAAAACCTTGAGTTTACATCTGGCCAAAACAAAACAAAATAAAAACAAAAAATTAAAAAGCTTTAAACAAGATTTTTAAAGGCCTAACCATGATAAACAGACATTTCTCAAAACAGAAGGCAACACTTTTTGACACATTAAATACCTAACTAGAAACAATGCACAAAGGAAGAAATGTGCATCATGCTCTTTTGGCCATTTCCCAAGACCTGAACCCTCATGATTCAGACTTGACACCAGTTCTTGGGATTAATTAATTGCATCAATTCATTTAGACACAAGAGAATATGCATTCAGCTCTAAGAAAACATAGCAATTGACTTACCGTTTATATATAACCTTCTAGCTCTCACTTCTTTAACATCAAGAGAGCAAACCAGCCTTATAAGACTATGAAAATGCTAAGAAACTCCATGGTGCATAAATCCCTACACTAAACTAATATTCCAGAAAGGCAAGCAAGACAGTTGCAAATACAGGCTTAGGAAAGACTTATTCTCCACTTGCAATAGGTCAAAATCTTCAGAGCAAGCACGGTGTAGTGTTTTGTGCATTGGGCTATAACTCTGGAGCCCACAGTTCAAATCCCTGTTCAACCATGAAAACCTATTGGGTTGCCCTGGGTAAATCTCAGTCTCTCAACCTTAAATGAAGACAATGACATATCTCTTTTGCATGAATCCTGACACAGGAAAAAACAACAACTATATGTCTACTTTAGGGTCACCGTATTTTGGAAATACTTTGAAGGAATCCAACACCACCATCACCACCACATTCATTTTCTTCAAACTCTCAAAGCTAGTACTACATTAGAGATGGTGAAGCACCTGTGTCCAAAAGCAAATTTTGATATCATGAAAGAACTGTTCATTTTTTAAAATTTAAGTGGGGAAGCACTTAAATGAGATTATCTGTCTCAGATGCCAAAAATAATGTGATTCTGTTCCTAGTAGCAAATTGCACTGGGCTGGCCCCGAACACTTGTACAGATCCATTTTTGTTAATGACACTTTTCTCCTTCGGCTTAATCCATCTGCACTAAGCTAGATGTAAAGGTGGCCTTAAAGTGTGTCTGTCACTCATAAGGTAATGGAAACAGAAATATATACCCAAAAGACCCGTACCTCATTTCTGATCATGGTGGTCACTCCCAAACTGATAGCTGATATCATTTGTGGGGGCGAAATAAGCCATTATGAAATCTCATGTTTTTACAATCTTAAATTATATATTGAAAATGTTAAGTGATAAAATAAGTCCATCATAAACAACACAGAGTTTTCAAGTGTCACCTTGCATATTATGACTATTTGATGGGATTGCAATGATGTCTGGAAGGCTAATTATTCTGTACTGAAATGGGTCAGTCTTCTCTGGAGAGCAAACAGATCATTAAAGATGCTACGGAAATAACAGCAGGCCTGTGTTAGATCTATATTAGAGAAAAATAAACCATTGTGTCCTTTGGGAGCTATTTTAAAAGTACCAATTTGAGATGAAATGTGGTAACATGATTCAAACCACAGACAAACTATAAAGATGAAATGTTTGGAGGTTTGAAACCTTTTGAAGTTGTTTTTAAAGCTGAATTGGTGAGTCTAGTCTTTGCTTTAGCAAGACCCATATAAACAAGTGGTCTATATGAAAATCCAGCTACATATCCATGTTGACAAATGGAGCAAATGGGATTTGACAAAACTGGCAAGTTTACAAAGCCAATAACTGAAGGATAGGTGCAAAAAATGAGTCACATCGTATATGATAATAATAATATTTGTTTATTTGATCAGTCATATGACCATTTCAAAATAGAACACGAGTAAAAAACAAGGCAACAAGGTGAAGACAGCAGCCGACCTTCTATTTATAGTCAGAATCTTATTTTCCTGGTTCTTCTTTCAGGAAATCTGCTCTTTTCTTAATAGCCTTTAGAATCGTATATGTTTCTTTTATGTTGTGTGAAATAACCCAACATGACCATAGATGTCTACAAATTACAATTATTTAGTAACATCTCTTGGACCACAAATAAACATATGAAGAAAGACAATTAGTTATCATTAACCGAATTGTTATCATAGAGCTAATTGATTGTTGGTTGATGTTTTTCTTTTATATTTTGTTATAACGTTATTGTGTTATTGTTTTATTCTGTTTTATGTTGGTATTATATATTTTAATGTGCTATTTTAATTATGCTGTTCCATCTCGTCTCCATGTAAGGAGCCCCGAGTTCCTTTCGGGAGATGGAGGTGGGGTATAAAAATAAAGTTGCTGTTGTTGTTGAACAGACATATGCTGTATAACATCTAAAGCCTCCTTTGGACCAAATGTCATTATCAAAACTCCTTCTGTCTGCATATGCCTTTCCACCCAACAATTGCTTAGGCTGTTGCGTGGCAATGAAGAGAAGTTCATCATTTCCCTCAACACAGGTTGAAGATCATGTATCCAAAACACTTTGGCTCAGAAGTATTGTGGAATACACACACACACACACACACACACACACACACACACATGACCCAAGTCTGAACATAAAATTCATTTATGTTTCATACACATAATCTGAAGGTAATTTTATCTACAATATTTTAAATTTGTGTACAAAGTTTGTGTACACTGAACCATCAGAAAGCAAAGGTGTCCCTATTTAAACCATCCATGTAGACAATCTTGGATTTTGGAATTCCAGATAAAGGATGCTCAACCTGTAACTCTTTTTGCTAAAAGATCTTTGCAGGAATCCTATATGATCGGTTACGTTATGTAACTTACACACACACACACACACACACATATCTTAAGTAGCAGAGATGTTAAGAAATCTTTTTACTGAATTGCCAAGATGCTTAATGGGATATCGGCAAGATGCCTGATGCATATCAGAGCTGGTGCTCATTGAAAACCAGTGTACATTATACATAAATACTCATTGCATACTTTGCTAACTCTTCTATGTAGTAGGAATATAACAGCAACTCTGGATGCAGACACTACACAACTGCATAGTTCTAATTGCCACAGTAGTAAGTATACTTATAAAGACATGACCTCAACAAGATTCTGGCACTACAGTATTTATTTTTGGTCATTCTATAAGCATCCCAGCAACTAGAGTTTATGATGGTCCTTTATAAAATACTTTCAAATTCTTGACTCTTCTGCTTCTTCTCAAAGCTAAGTAACATTATTCTCTCCTTACCTCACACGTTATGCATTCCAATCTCTTTAGCTGGAGACAACTCCATTTATATCCTCTTAAGTGTGGAGACCAAAATTAGCATTCCTACTCCCAATGGAAAACTGAAAGCCGAAAGCCAGTGGGATTTCAGGTTCTAAACTACCCTGTTGCTTTTGAACATTCAAAAGTATTAATATTTAAATACAAGTTGATAAACAGAAATTCAGCAAGAAGAATGGAGAACAAAGTCAGACCAGATTAAAGACCACAATGAAACTTAAAGAAAGTGGGAACCAAAACCTAAGCCAAACTGAAATTTCTTTAAGTTCTGGATTTGTAAATCCAGTCTCTGTGGTCTAATGGTTATGATCATAGTTACTTACAGTTAAAATGGAATCATATATATGGCAGAACCGAAATATTCCTAACACAGTCTTTACTACTACTGAGTTCTGTCTGTTTAAACCAGGGGTCCTCAAACTAAGGCCCGGGGGCCGGATAAGGCCCTCTAAAGTCATTTACCTGGCCCTCGCTCAGGGTCAACCTAAGTCTGAAATGACTTGAAAGCTCACAACAACAACAACAACAATCTTATCTTACTAGTCAAAAGCAGACCCATACTTCCCGTTGAAATACTAATAAGTTTATATTTGTTAAAATTGTTCTTCATTTTAATTATTGTATTGTTTTAAGTGTTTTTTGCACTACAAATAAGATATGTGCAACATGCATAGGAATTCATTCATTTTTTTCCAAATTATAATCCAGCCCTCCAACAGTTTGAAGGACTGTGACCTGGCCCTCTGTTTAAAAAGTTTATGGACCCCTGGTTTAAACCATATTGTACCCACTTTGAGTCATGAGGAAAAGTGGGTAACAAATATATGTATGTATGTATGTATTATTATTATTATTATTATTATTATTATTATTCCCATGTTACACGAGTAGACCTCTTTTTACATGACTGGTGTTGCCCATTTCCCACTCTCTCTACAGGCATCCCCTGAGCAACTCTCCCTATGCCCTCTATCTACTATCTTCTACTTCCCTGTAAAGAATGTGGAGAACACAACGTAGGCTATAGGATCAACTCAGTTTTTTAGCTGCCATTTCTTCTCACAGAAAGATACTGTTGGAGTCAATACCACAGGCAAAGTAAAGGGAAGAAAGCATTTATAGTAGCGAGTATTGCTTAATGCTGTTCCTTTTATATAGGGTGGAAGAAACAATCCTATAAAATCCGTTCCTCATATCGTGCCACACCAGCTCCACATTAGTTGCTGAATATATCATTCTCTTATTAGACCAAG